GAGGTCCGTTTAAGATAGTGGCGCAGAGCCCTGCGCACATCCAAGGTATGCCACCTTCTCTCCAGACGGTGGGAAGGGTTTGGACAGAAGTTAGGGAGTATCAGGTCCTGGGATCGATGAAAACCTGTATTAACCTTAGGAATGAATGCAGGATCCAACCTGAGGACGACCCTGTCCTCGTGGAACATGCAGAGATCCTCCTGGCCGACGTGATGGCCACTAAAAAGGCCACCTTCAAGGTGAGGAAGTGTAGGGAACAGGAACCGAGCGGTTTGAATGGAGGAGAAGTTAATGCTTGCAATACCTTGGGCAAATCCCAGGATGGGTAACGATGGATCGTAGGCGGACCAGTGTTAGTCGTGCCCTTAAGGAAAGCCCCGACCGCTGGGTGGTGAGACAGGGAATCATGGTTTTCACAAGTGAGAACCGTCGATAACGCCGCTACCTGCCTGCGTATGGTGCCGGCTGACAAACCCTTATTCAATCCCTCAACCAAATACTCTAGTATATCCGGGATAGTGACTGAGAGTGGCGAGCGGTGCTGTCGCCTACACCAGGAGCAGAAGTTTCTCCAAGTGGCATCGTAGATCCTGTTGGTTGATGGGCGCCTCGAGGCCTGGATAACTGAGATCACCCCGGAAGAATAGGATTGTCTGGTTAGACTTTCCCGCTCAAGTGCCAAGCGGCTAGTTGGAGCCACTGCGGATCCGGATGCTGGAGGTTCCCCTGACTGAGAGCTACTCGGTCCGGGGGGATCTTCCATGGGGGCGAGAGCGACAGGTCCACCAGATCTGCAAACCACGGCCGACGCAGCCAAAATGGAGCAATTAAGATTAGCTCCGCTCGCTCTTGTAGAAGCTTGCGAATAGTCGCCTGGAGCAGCGGAAGAAGAAGAAAGGCGTAAAGCACGCCCCTGGGCCATACGCTCCGTAGGGCGTCCGTCCCCTCCGCCCCCTCTGATGGGAATCTGGAAAAGAACCTGGGGAGCTGTGCATTGATCAGGGAGGCGAAGAGATCTAGGACAGGTTGGCCGAACCTGTGAGCTACCTCCCTGAACAAGTGTGGATCCAGTTTCCACTCTGAATGGTCCACGGTGGCCCTGCTGAGAGAGTCCGCCTGTCGATTGTCCTCCCCCGAAATGTGTTCTGCTCTGATGGAGTTCAGAGTGGACTCTGCCCAAAGTCCCAATGCCATG